TAAACCTCTGCCTTCATTTCTTGCGGGGAAACTACCCAGTCTCTTCTGGGACGTGTCCTCAAAAGCTTTGAGCTTGTGGATAAACTTACAGAGGCAAAGGTTGCGTTGATAAGAGTGCATTTGGAAGAAGAGCGATAGAAACACGTGGCCGTGCCTTGAGAGAAAGCGATCGGTATCTGATAAATGGTAGCATATTTGCTTTTACAGGACTGCCAGAGTTTCTTGCCCCGGTCTGATCCCTCTCTACAGCATTGCCAATGCGTTCAACTCAAATGTCGGACTCAATCTTGGTACTGTGGAGGTGAATGGTATCCCGTATTATCCCATCAATGAGGAAGGTTCGTCATGAATTGATCGGCACACATGCTTATGGCGTTTGCTGAGTGTTGCGATCTTCCGGGACCCTATTTTGTGCTTCAGGATCGATTGGCGTTGGACGAGTCGCGAATGTTCCATTTGGATCGTGGGGCGGTGGATACTCGGAAAATCTTGGTGTAAGGTGAGCCAAGCTCAACACTCATTTTCTCGAATAATCCCTTCTACTCCTAGTGGATCATTGGGCTTCAGCATGCTTACTAAGCAAATAAGCGAGGAAAAGACGACAGCTTTCGGTTGGAGGCTCTACGAACTGGCATAGACACAGGGCCGCAGATACATTCCATAGCTAGCCAAAAATCTACGCCAGTTGGGAAGAATCGCAACGAAGTGGGCCCTTTGAACGGTACCTCTAAAGCTGCAGGATGAAAACGGTAGGGTGAGTTAGGCTCAAGGGGATTCCTGATATCGTCGCGAAAGCTAAAGCTGTGTGATCGGTATAAGAATTTGACGAAATGACAAACTAATCCTCTGTGGATGCGATTTACGTACTATTAAGATAGACGGGGGCCCAGTGCGTGAAGAACACGTAGAAATGCTGGGCGCAAGATGCGGTACTTCCCGCAGCAGATGCTGGATGCTCCACGATACTTGCAACATAACGATTGCAGGGTTCTTGGAATGGTAGAGGAGAGCTCATGTAGACGACAAGTGGTAATTTTGTGGCAGAAGCCGCGTCATCAACTTCCTAGTAATGTCTGATGACCAAAGATGCCTAAAGTCTCAGACACGCCCACCGGCACAGGAAGGGCCATGATGACTACGAAATAAAGCCGTGACTACCCATCGCTCGATTCCCGTTTCTGACCATAACGTGCACTGCTGCAGCAGTCAATCGACGCAGCACAGTTGCCTGAAGATCACCGTTGGCATCATATCAATGCTTATCTTCATTCAGACGACCTCTATTTGCGGTAAACTCTTCTGCTTTCGAAGTTAGCGAGCCTAATGACGGTTCCCTTGTTCGGGTTCCAACCATTTCCCTTTTTCTTTCTCAGACGAACCATTTGGCAGCAATTTCATATTTCACATGTATCAGGCTACGTGAGAGCTGGCTTTGAATCTCATGTGTTCAAAATTCCTGTTTAGGGACTACTGGTCACAAACAATGGAAGTCGGCGCGAACTGGTATGAGGGAAAGTACGGTTACAAATCCGGATGGAGTGTTCCTCTGGTACAATCCCTCGGCATTGAAGGCGACACGCATGCTGTGGTGAGTGTGCCCCGCATACCGGTACAAGAGGGAAGCTGTTGCTCATTCATCACCTACTGCTTGCAGGCCCAAGCTTTTTTACAACCTTTAGGTCATTTCCTTGTTGAAGTTACTCATCTCAGGTATCGGTGCCAACTAAACAGGGAGAGCTTGGCAAACCAATAGGAGTGGATGTTGGCGGCGGAGTAGGACCGTACTACCAGCAAAATCAGCATGTCGGAGTTGACTATATGAATGGACATGTGAGCACGATTCCAAAGCATATTCGCCTTTCCCATAAATTTTTTACTCAACAAACACACCCCATTTATTTGCAGGTAGGGACGAACTTTGGTGTTGGCGTTCCGTTTGCCGGTGTAGGGGTGAACACTGGGCTTGGAATATCCTTCCCGTCAGTCAATGATGTTGTCGGCTAGCCCGCATCGGGTCAACGGCTTTTGCAGCCAATTGTGTTCAAAGACAAGTTTTATTAATGTATGCAACAATAAACTATTATACACGGTGTTCCATAAATACTGCAACACATTTTGAGCTTCAATTGTGTGGGTGTTTGTAGTCTTTTTCCCAAGGTTGGCATACCTTCACTTCCTATAACCTCTTGTGAATAACCTTGCCGAAGTGCACGGCTTACCATTCGTTGTACATCTCATGGTGCACCTAAACCTCAATAGAGGTCCTAATCCCTCATACAGCTAGGTCGGACATCCGGTTAACATCGCGCTTCTTTGGATTTTCAACCGCTCCTTGGCCTACCGTGTACGAGAAGACCAATGAAAGTAGTCTTTGTTGCGGCCGCCCCACAAGTTCTGACATCTTGGATCTCAGGAAAAGCATGAAGAAGCGAAACGACTGCAATACCCGGGTTGGCTCGAGAAAGGTGACCAGAACGCTGGAGTTTCTAACACAGTCATGTAGAGAGTGGATCAGCAACTGCTCACAGTCCATTATAAGTTGCATAAGCACCACTGCTTAATCGTGACAACTAGAGGAGAGACAAAAATTTGAGAGAGAACGGTCCGTGCGGTTCGTTGGAAACAGAGAACAAGTTCAGAATTCGACTACCAGCTCTGTCCGCGTCCGACCGAAAGAGCGAGTGTCTGCTTTTAGTGTTCATGACCCGTGAAATAGGTGATCATCAACACGATCAACCAAAAACTTTCCGTAAAACGTTCTACATCGACGTACATTCGAAGAACAAACAAAAAGCGACCATCACATAATACCTACAAGTGCATTTGAACAGATCATTGCGAACATCCAGTGCATACCGGAGAGTGTAGTGGATATATGCTCATAGCGCATAACAGCTACAAACATCTACGTATGAGTAGTGCAACCAAAAATCAAAAAGTTTGAACACAACGAATATCAAAATGAATTGAGAGCTAAATTTCTTATTGAATAGTCAGTCCTCCTGCATTTTGTAAACCCACAATCATAGAAAATTACTCAAGCATGTCTGCGGTCACTGAGTAAATACGGACACTGTTGGTCTTTGTAGGGTGGGTCTTTTTGTGCTGATGCTTCTTTCCCCATTGCTCGAACTTACGTTTTGTGGAACTGTCTTAACGAATGAATTTATAATTAGCCATAAAATTATCTCCAAGCAGATAAGTTCGTGTCAACGCATTTCCTTTAAATCCATGTTCATTTTGATACGTCTTGTAGCGTTGGGGTAGGTACAACGCATCACCATCACGTTCATGTGGCTTCTCTATAACAACAGATCGAGTGAATTTGAAGCACAACACAAGAGATAGGCGATGGCTTCCATTTCGCACAGCATCGATCTTCGTGTGTTTGTTCAAATCAGCTTCGATCTGTTAATTATGGAGACAGATGAACGTGATGGTGATGCCACTGTAGCGTACCCAACGGCATCTACAGCACCGTATCAAAATGAACATGGATTATAATAGGATATGCGGTTGACAGCGAATATCTGGCTTTGGAGATGAATTTTATGGGTTAATTATAATCATCTTAAGGCACAATGTCTCCACAAAACTGATAATTTGCGTCATGTAGACCTGAAATCCATGCAAAAGCATCGAAACATTGAATACGCGCGTCAATTACTGCTAGTCGTCTCGTTGAAATATTTGCTAATTTCCTAGAAAATTGGCTAATTAAGGAGTATCGCTCTGCTAAGTCGATCGTTTTTGCTGGAGGACAATTCGTGCTCTCGGGATAAAACTTTCGACATTTTTCAGTATTTCTTCTCTCAATTTAGGAGTTTCTTACATTGTTTCTCTAGGCCACGAATTAAATCGGGTCGGATAATATTTTAATCAGGTTGGATCTTATTGGTACCTCAAAGTTAGGCAATTAAACCAGCCAACTGACGACAAGTTCAATTCTATGCCGTATATCAATCAACTGAACAGGCACTCAAATAAAAACTATCTCGAAGTCGACAATCACTGCCTAGCCACGCCCAGCGGAGCCTCACAGAAGGAAATGTAGTAGTAAGGGGTAATCGACTACGTGAATCGAATGCTGATGTGGGCGTGGCTGTCTAGGGCGTGGTTTCCGAGAAAGCTTTGAAAAATTGAAAACCTTTTCTAGATTTCCATGGTGAAGAAGCCATGCACAATGAATACAACAAGCATATTATATCTAGTACATGTATGTGTGAACAGAAATCACTAGTGGGCGAAGCTACCTGGGTGGGGCTTGGCTGTAAATATGTATGTAGGTATATACGTATGCATGTGTCACTCAACATATGCAGAAGTCCTACTCAACGTGGACTCGAACCCTTGACCTTCTAACATTCTTCCAGACACTTAACCATTCTGTCAAGGAGACACGCTCCTGCTTGACTTTGCGCCTGACCCATGAACAAAAGTGAGCGAAATTGAATCACGAAGAGTTCAACTGATCACTCAAAGATGTTCGCGATCCTCGAGGTGATTCTGAAGACCTCGAATCCTCATGGTTTCTTATTTTTTGTCTTTTTTGGAGATTCAGCACGCGGTATGCGACCGGTCAGCTTGTCATAAAAAATATCATCAAAAATCTTGAAGGACTTGAAATGTTGCTTCATCCTTGTTAAATAAACTGAGGCTTTGGAGAAAATCGGGAAACAACAGCTTTTTCTTTGCTTCGGTAACTTTAGACGAACTTCTTATGCAACAATACAAAGCGCCTCGTTCCTGCTGCACCGGCACTTGGGACATCTGCAATCGCCATCGTTTCGGCACGGCTCTCCCACCTCGTAGATAAGTTGACCCAAGTAGTTTCCACTGCAACTTGATCACGATGAAACCTCTACGAGCAGAATGATTACCTTGTTCACAATGTGTTTGCAACTTACGGAGGGTTATATTGGCAGACCACAAAGGTCATAGTTGGACACCATTCGACTGCACAACCGAGCTTGTAGGTGTTTTGCCACACCATCTGGAAAATCTGCTTATTGGGTCGATAGAACAGCTTTTTGGTAAGTACGTTTTCTCGTCCCACACCGTTTTTGGCTAATTCGCCGAACCAATCATCACAAGACTGAAGCGAATATCTTTCATGTGAAATATAGCCTGACGTAATATCCTCACCATTTCCGCTGACTGTGCCTTGTCCATTCGATTGTAAGAAATCGCCCACACACTCTCACCTAGATCGGGTCTTTCGGAACCATCGGAGTGTCCATATTTGCATTTCTTGGCATGCCGCATAGCGCTGGCTTCCACCCGGCAGTCGTACACCTGAAAATCTCATTCCATAACCTTATTAGCACTCAGAATCCTTGCACGTGTACATATACGACGTCCTCAATCGTACCATCTTACGCATTCTTGCCGCCTTCGGAGCGTTTCCCTTGGTTATCAGTTTGTCCTTTGCCTGCCCCTTCGCCACATATGATCTAAATAACAGTATTCGCATTTTTTGGCCAAACGTGCTGAGGTTAAAGGATACCTGTAGTAGTTGTGCTTAGTGAGGAAGATCTGCCTGAGTTCGTCTGTCATTCCTTTGTTGGCAGCGCATGTCGTCGAAGCTGGCTCTGAACCAACTGAGCTCACTTGTCTCAAATTTCACAGTAGAGAAATGATGCAAACCTTTGGCAGGAGGTTTCACCACTGCTGGTCTTCTCGTGGTGGTGGTGGTGGTAGTAGTAGTCGTTGTTTTAGGGCCCACGGGTTTTCCTGTCACACAAAGACTGTTCGAGCAAGATGAGGCTGCATAAGCGTCGCACTGGCAAGCCCTTCCTGTCTCCCATAACACATGATTTGGGAAAAGCCTTCTAAATCAAAACACTATTGCCTCCTCAATGCAAGTTTGCCAACTTTGATATCAAATATGCGTTTTTACGGCGTCGTCAAGCTCCAGTGAGAAGCTAACGCTTTTGCTAGTTAGAGACACCCTACGACAAGCAGGATAATTGCCATTACTTGAGCGTAGTGCGAATCTGGGTGACAGGTGTGGTCGTTCGTTATGGCAAGCCGCCCCATTTTCCCACTTCTGGTATCTCCGAAGCACGTTCTCACCACCGGAAAACCCTATTCATTAAATCATAATCATTATTCCTTCTGATAAAAGTGTTTACTATTCCCTCTAAATGTTTACTACTCCCCCTGAATGGGTTACTTTTTCAGGCTGCACCGGCGGTGACATCCGAAGATTACTGACCCACCTGGTCACACTCATGAATAGAGCAAGCAAGGTGAAGAGCACCCAAGTAACTCAGCCGAGTCTTCTATTCTGCGCATACCGCTTAGGAAGAGACTGTGTATCATTAGACTTGTGCCCTCATAATTTGTGCGACGGTGATAACCAACAAAAACTAGGCTTTTGGCCGTCCTTCCGGACGGGGACCTGCCTATTTCTTTTCCCTGTGTATATCGAAAATTCTTTCAGGGACGTGGAAATTCAGTAAGAGCGAGACAACAAAAACAAAGCGAGCAAGTGCGTGGTTCTACGCGGTTGTGATCATTCCATTTTAGTTGTGGTATAGCTGAAGCGCTTGAGGGCCACTGATTACGCCAATTTGATGGTGATCATATGCGAAATCAGAGGTGAAATATGGTAAGGCTGTGGAGGAGAGTGGTCAACAAATCGTCGAACAACCGAGACCTGTTAGAGTCTGAAAGTATTATAAAATCCCAGTCGATCCAGTTTCAATGAAAAATTTATGCCATCGTTGAACTTATGTGGCCACCTAAGCCAGTGAATAATCATGTGCATTCGAGGTTTACTGTGCTAAATTTGCTTTTGGTATCGTGGGGTTTCTAATCAATGACGCGCCATTTTCTGGGGCAAAAGTATATCTTTTAGTGATACTTCTGGATTTGAATAGCTTTTTTGCACATCGTATTATTTTCGAATTAATTATATTATTATTATAGGGCGGAAGTGGTGTAGTGGCAAGTGGCACGCTTACCACGCGAGCGGTCCGGGGATCAAATCCTGGGTCGTGAGTCGCCCGGGCCAACCAAGCCTTCCATCCCTCCGGGGTCGGTTAATTGGTACCAGACTTGTCTGGGAGGATAAAAACACTGACTTGTACATCGGCTGGCCCCCGCAAGTCATTGTATAGGCCACATCGCATTCAAACGCCACTACGAATGTACAAATGGAAGTAGAATGCGTGCCGCATCCCAAAAAGGGATTGATCAACGGCAAATGCTTTATCCTTTATCCTTTATGCTATTATAGGAGCTTCAGGCGATTTCATTGTTATCTGACTGCATAAGGCCAAAAAACCAGAAGTTCCAAACTTCGACCACTACTGCACTTTTCTTGCTCAGACCAGCTCTGTAGCACTTCATATGCCTTTCAGAGGGTTATGTTGAGTCAGTGGTGCCTTTTCCGTTCTAAGCTGAGGAAACTGCTCACCGGCCCTCGTAAACACAAGATACAAACATGGAAGAACCACCGCAGGTTTTGTAAGCACATCCGACTTTCAGAGTTTTCGAATTCGCTATCTAAAAT